ACGCGCTCTTGCCTGGACAGGTACACACCTACTTTACCGGAAGCGAGCATAATGTGTTCCGCGCCTATCGCCATGAGGTCCATGGATTGATAGAGAAGCCTGTCGCCGAGTGCGTATACACTACATAATCTACGAAGAGAGACTAACGAGACAACAGGCGCTCACAGCGACTCGAAGCCATCTTCCGCGAACAGAACCTCAAAGTCGCAACCCAGCACTACAACTACACCGTCTCGAACCAAACAATCGCAAACGAAAATGTCTACGCTATCCTCCAGGGGCCCCGCGCGGATGCCACCGAAGCAATTGTGCTGATTGGAGCTTGGAAGAACATGGCAGACGAGGTCAACAACTCTGGTGTCGCATTAGTTCTTACACTGGCGCGCTACTTCAAGCGCTGGAGTCTATGGAGCAAGGACATCATCTTGCTCATTCCCGGCGACAGCACGATCGGATCCCAGGCTTGGGTCGATGCATACCACGAGGCTCACGATACGCGTTACGTCGAGAGCTTGAAGATCAAGAGCGGGGCACTACAAGGAGCGGTCGCAGTCGACTATCCCGCAGGTCCATGGGGTCACCGATACGATAAACTGCATGTGGTGTACGATGGCATAAACGGTCAACTTCCCAACCTGGATCTGTTCAACACCGCGGTCCAGATCGCCTCCAGCCAAATGGGCATCGGCTGTGTGATCCAACGGATGTGGGACCACAAGGACTCATACAAGGAGCGTCTCCAAACTATGCTTCGAGGCATGCTCTCGCAAGGCGTTGGCCATGCGACCGGACCCCATTCATCCTTCATTCCATACCACGTCGACGCGATTACACTGGTGACAGTCGGAAACGGGTGGCACGACGAGATGTCACTGGGCAAGACGATTGAGTCGCTTTTCCGAAGCTTGAACAACCTCCTTGAACATCTGCACCAGAGTTTCTTCTTCTACCTTTTGTTGCAAGACAAGCGTTTCGTCAGCATCGGCACATACCTTCCCTCTGCCATGCTAATTGCGTTCAACTTCAGCATCGCAGCCATGGCATTGTGGGTAAAGAGCGGACGTACTACGAAGCCCATTGGTAACCCCGCAGCCACAAACCCCAAGAAGGCCCCCGTCGAGAAGCCATCTCCCGCAGACACCAAGGCAAAGGATCCAGAAGTCAAGGAGAAATCTGAAGGTGAAAAGAAGCCTGAACCCGAACAACCAGCAACAGAACTCGTCGAAAAAGACGGCTCCTTGGCCATTGTGCCCATAGCCAGCACAGTGATAACAGAACGCCACCTCCTCTTCCCCCTCATACTCGTCCTCGCCGCCCACGCCTCCGGTCTGATTCCCCTCTACCTCTTCAGTAACTGGGACGCCGACCACCTTCCCAACCTCTTCCTCACAGCCTGCAATGTTACCACGCTCGCCCCGCTCATCATAACCTTCCTCTTCTGGTGGTCTGCTCCCGATGTCCTCACCCCACAAGCTCTCTGCCTATTCCAGTGTTTCTCGTTGCTGCTACTAGGCATGTTCCTTGCGGCACTGGCGACGCTGAACTTTAGTTTGAGTATTTTGGTCGGTGTGCTGTGTGTACCGTTGAGTTATGTACGCAGGAGTGGTAACAATAGCATCACAGGGCTGCAGATGTTGGTTTTGGCCATGACGAATCCCCTCCTTGTTGTGCAGACTGCAACCAAGCTGCTAGGAGTGGGTCTTATGGACGTGCTCACGCAGAGTGCCATTGGATGGCACATTTGGGGCATGTGGACGCAGGTTGTTGTTTGGTTAGTCTGGTTCCCTGCGTGGTTGGTGGGAGCTTTGGTAGTTTCCACTGGGTTCTGGCAATAATGGTCAAAAATGGGTTGTAGCGTATGTCATGTATAAGCAAGAGAGTTGTACGGGGTGTCATGAGTCTTTTCGTTCGTTGACCATCTATGGCCACTATCTATGATTACATCGTATGCACGCGTGTTGCATCAACTGATACATGTCACCCGTCAAGCATTGACATGGCTTCCTCTGGAAGGCGAGTCCTCATCGTCTAGTCGAACGTGCACCTTGTTCAAGCAGCCCAAACATCCTTGCCGACACCCTCGATCCAGTTGCCCAATTGGTTGACACTGGCGTCCCACTCTTTCAACCTCGACCTCATGCCCTCAATCTGCTTCATGTCTAGAACCTTGGGCTGTACCCAGTTGATGCGTGCAATCTCCGCAACCTGGTCAATTTGTCCTTTCAGCAGTCCCAAGCTCAGCGCCTTCATAATCAGGTGCTCAATCTCGTTCGGTTGTACCTTGGTCTCTTGGGAGATTTCGGAGAAGGTCATGGCGCGGTCGTGGGGTGGGCGACGGAACACGGTCTCTGTAAGGGCGGATAGCGAGATCTTCTGGTAGAGGAAGGTCTGGTGCTCTTTGAGGAGCGGAACCTTGGTGATGTTGTTGGAAAGGACGTCGTATGCCATCAAATCGCCGCGGTTGAAGGCGAAGAGGAGATCGCGGAGCCACGCATGTGGGGTGTTGACGAGCGAGTCGAGGATAGGGTGCAGCAGCAACTCTCCGAAGTTGTAGATGGAATCTGAAACGAGGGCGGCAATACTGAGGTCGTAGGCGCGAGACTGGCGTTCGCGCAGCTCCAGGTCGTTAAGGTCGACGCAGGCGAGGAACAGCAGGGCGTTCTTGTAGTATGCGGCGAACTCGTGCTTGGACTTGTAGTACTCTGCGCTTGCGCGGTAGAATGAGGCATGCACGACGGTCTCGACCGAATCGAACGTGTCCAGTATCTGCTCGCACTCGTCGAGCTTCTTCTTGGCACCCTCCTCGTCTTTTAATTGTAGCTGTATGCTGGCGGCGGCGACTGTGGCGTATACGTAGGCGTCTTGTGAGGCGGGCTTGTTGACGCTCTTTGCGAGGTCATTGACAAAGGTGAGGCGTTCCTTGTCGTCTGTGAGAGTCAGCTGCTGTGTATTTTCACCCCGCATGGCGCATCCTACCCTTGTACTGTGAGGCTGTGTTGAGTCCCAAGGTGACGAGCTTCAGCTGGTTGATCTTGTTTGCGAAGCTCTTGATGAAGGTCTCGAAGAAGGGTATCCGCTGCTTGGCGCTCTCTGGGTGGTCGAAGAACTCGATGAGCTTGTCGGTAAGCTCGTGCCATAGCTTTCGCTCCCAAAAGTCCTCAAAGGCGATGAAGTATTCCTGGAGTTCCTCGGGTGCCTCGTCCCGCGCATCGCCTAGAAGGTTCGGGATCGTGTCCGTGTCCATGGCCATGATTGCCGATTATGAAGTTTCGATGGTAGGTGAGGGAGCGGGTATCGGGTGTAGAGTTGGTGGAGGTGATCACGGAGCTGGGCTGTTGTTGGCGAGTGCGGGACGTGTTGCTCTGATGGCGTTGCGGCGGAAGCTACGATTAGCGCATAGCGCCAAGACCAGCAACCACGGACGTTGATGCGTCCCAGCGGCATCTCCAGCAGCTCTCTTCGACATATCCGCCGCCATTGAACGCCGCCAACATGCTGCCACTCCGCTGCGCTCGGTCGCCAGTGGCGCTGTCGGCGCAAACGCCCTTGAAGCGTGTCGCCAACTTCTCTACGTCCGTCCGCCGACAACAACTCAACTCGGACGTCAGGATAACCAGGTTCGCCAGACTCGTCCCCGCGCCGCCAAATACACGCTGACCATAGCACAGGACTGGAAAGCCCATCTTGACTGTCTCCGGCGGACGTTCCTCGCTCGGAGGTACGCTGCGACCCGCGCCGGCGTGCTATACCAACGCTCACACATCACAGGATACACCGCGACCGTCTTCGGAGCCACTGGATTCTTGGGACGATACATTGTGAACCGACTGGGTGCGTGGAAGCGATTGGGCAGCGGAGGGACATTGCGCTAACGACGACAATAGCCCGATCAGGATGTACAGTGGTGGTCCCCTTCCGGGAGGACATGGCAAAGCGTCACCTCAAGGTCGCCGGAGATCTGGGCAGGGTTGTCTTCATCGAGATGGATCTCCGAAACACTGCATCGATTGAAGAGAGCGTACGACACTCTGACATTGTCTACAACCTCATTGGTCGCGACTACCCCACCAAGAACTTCGACCTGGAGGACGTACATGTCCATGGAACAGAGCGCATTGTGGATGCCGTCGCCAAGTACGACATTGACCGCTTTGTTCAGGTCTCCTCGCACAGCGCACGCCTAGACTCACCCTCCGAGTTCTACCGCACCAAGGCTCAGGGAGAGCAAGTAGCACGCTCCATCTACCCCGAGACCACCATTGTTCGACCTGCGCCCATGTTCGGTTTCGAGGACCGTCTTCTCCACCGCCTAGCCTACCCGTCAAACATTGTCACCTCTAACAACCTAGAGGAGCGCATCCGCCCCGTCCATGTCATCGATGTTGGCATGGCTCTCGAGCGCATGCTCCACGACGACACCACCGCCGCCCAGACGTACGAGCTGTACGGCCCCACTGAGTACTCCATGGCCGAGATCAACGAACTCGTCGAGAAGGAAGCCATGAAGCCGCGCCGCCATGTCAACATTCCCAAGCGCCTCATGAAGCCTATTGCACACTACGCCAACAAGCTTCTCTGGTGGCCTATCCACTCGGCCGATGAGGTTGAGCGCGAATTCATTGACCAGATTATTGACAAGGATGCGAAGACATTCAAGGACCTGGACATTGACCCCGTTGAGCTGAAGAGCTTGACCTTTGAGTACCTCAAGGGTTACCGAAGCTCAAATTACTATGATCTACCCCCCATGAGCGAGAAGGAGAAGAGGGAAGAGAAGAAGTACCTGCACGTCCTTGACGACCAATAGACGGGTATTAGCATAGTTTAAGGGTTATGGAAAATCTTGTAAATATCTGTGCCCCTATGCTGGGCGGACATGGTCGTTAGAATCAACATGTTTTCGTTTGTGCCTGTTACTTCAATCCTGTGGAAAGAAGATCGTATTTTCAGAGTGGGGTATCAAATGCAGGTGCGCTAAATGCTATCATAAGAACTCTCGTTCATGCAGTCCGCGGTTCATCCTTCTTTTCCGCCAATCTCTCCAGGTACCGCCTCAGCAAAGCTTCGGTACTCTCCGGATCATCCCTATCCCTGCGCTCGTCCCAATGCCGGTAGAATTCGAGCACAACCTCGACAGCGATAAGTGCGATGATAGCCCACTCAAGCCTCAATCCATGTTTTTCACTCAACTGCTCTCTCAGCACACTAGCAATCTCTTGTGCAAATCCAATCTTCTCGTTGAGCACTTTGATACGTACTCCGACATCCAAAGCCCGCCCAACTTGATCGTAGTACTCGCCGAGCCCTAACTCGTGCCGCGAGTCCCAGAAGATGTCGGGCATGCTGTCGGTGAGCTCCGAGTAGAGATTCAGCTGAGCGCGAAGAGAGAGTAGTTCGCCCGTTTTGCGCAATATGAAGGATCGCGTGAATGGAGCGCTGCGCCGAGGGGAGAAGGTTTTGGAGGAGGCTAGCATATTGGGGATCTCGCGCGTCGAATGCTGGTAAGCGGATAAGAGGGTTTCCAGGACGGCCAGCTTGGTGCTACGGGCAAGACCAGATGAGAAAGCAATCTTTGCTAGAACAGTGTCTACTTCGTGCCGTTGGTCGGTCGTGTTGAGAGGCTCGTCCAGAGGAGACGATGGCGGGCTATCGGATACTGGCTCTGCTTTTGTGCCAAGGACGATGGTGTCGCCGACTACTTCACTGGTCTCTTTACTTGGATCTTCGAGATAGTCCAAGTCTTCTGTTTCGAGCAAGTCCAGATGTGAGCCTTCAGCAGCCGCTGGTAGCACTTGGTTAACCAGCTTCAACGCTTCTCTCTCTCGGACATTCCATGTCACCACGGTGCCAGACGGAAAGATGAAGATGTCGCCCTGTTGGAAGTCCTTGACCTCTGACGGCCGATCGGAAGTCTGGACGTGTATAACTTGTGGGTATAGGCCAGTCTGGAAGGGATCGAGCTCGTAACCCTGGGCTTTGACAAGTCGAGCGGCGGTGGCAATATCGTAGGTCTCGGCAGCGCAGTATGCGGTTACCGTCTTGGTTTCGGCGTCTGGATCTATGAAGCGGGTTCTTCCTCTTGACTTGACAAACGCCCGGGATCTCTGCGCCTCGACTGCGATGCTGCGCAAAGACGTCTTGCCAGCATTTTTCCGCGCGCCCTTGCGATCTGGCTTTTGCTGCGTCTCATTTGTGGCCTCTTCCTTCAGGGCCGCCTCGTCCTGCTTCTGAGTGAAGTCTATCTTTTTCTCATGTCTGCTTGTCGTCGAGAATAGTGGGTTTGCGGGGGTGCGCAACAACGACCGGGCGTGGGGAAGATTCGGCGGGCGGCACGCAGCAAGACACCGTGTCAAGCCATTGAATGCGTGTTTTTGAATAGCTGTCATCACCGGCGCAAGCGTGGCTCGGACATAATTCGCAGCAACGGGCGGCGAGGCTGGCGATGGATCTTGAGGTGGTGGAGCAGTGCGGAGGAAAGCTAGACCCTTGCAAGTCCGCGGGAATGGCTTGGCCAGCATCATAGGCCTAGATCGACGCGGGCATCGACTGCAACAACACCTCCATCTCCACGCGCCGGAGCTTCCCCAGGTCTCTACCACGCCCGCCGCAGCTCATGCCGCCAGCATGGCTGCGGAAAACACCCCCGACGAACCGCGTACGCCTGCGCGCGACCCTCACCCCGTCGACCAGGTAGCCAGCGAAGCGAAAGCCAGCGCCGAGCACGACTCCGACGATGAGGACGACGAGGTCGAGGAAGAGCCCAAGCTCAAGTACAGCCGCCTGACAAGGGACTTGGGGCCCGTCTACCGCAATGGCGACGCGACAGCTACCTTCATGGTCGCGGGGGACAAGATGGTACGGTCATAGCTCCATGCTTCATGCCCACGACAGGCGCACGCTGCCGAGTGAATGCTAAGATTGTATGTAGATAGTAGGAACCCACAATGGCAACATACATGCGCTGAGCATACCCTCGTTCCAAGTCCTGCGAACCTACAACGCGCATCCTGCTGCTTCCGTCACCGCACTCTCCGTATCGCCTCTACTAGCTTCCCAGCCCTTCGTACCTACAGCTTCAGACCTCCGCTCAGCAGACCAGACCAATGCATCGACCAGACGAACCGATTCTCCAGCAGGCAATGCATCCTCCCCTCGGACGCCGCGTCAGGCCCAAGTGCCATCGACACCTTCCAATCAGATTTACATAGCTTCGTCATCTATCGATGGGCACGTATGTGTGTCTTCACTCATCGACCCCAAGGATGTCACGCTACGCAACTTTGGTCGCCCTGTACAGGCGGTGGCGCTGTCGCCTGACTACAAGAACGACCGCTCATACCTATCGGGAGGCTTGGCTGGCGAGCTTATCCACACAGTCGGAGGTCCAACGGGTGTGCGTTCCAATGCCAACACCAGCTCAGCATCGCAGACAGCCCAAGGATGGCTTGGAGCAATAGGACTAGGCGGGCACAGTGGAAAAGATACCGTTCTGCATGCAGGAGAAGGTACCATAACCGCCATCAAATGGTCTCTTTCTGGCAAATTTGTAGCCTGGTCCAATGAGCACGGCATTCGCATCATGCGCACCGATCTTCACCTCGATAGCGCTGAGTCCGAATACGCCTGGAAGAGGATTGGTTTCATCGAAAAGCCGAACCGTCGAATATGGCAAGAGATGGCTGGTGTGTGGAAGGCGCGCATAGAGTGGATTGACGATCGATCGCTTGAGTCTGACGACGATGCGATACTGAGCATGAACGGACATCACCTTGCCGATAAACCCGAGGCCACCTTACCACACAACCGCTCACCCCAGGCCACCAAGGACGCGAAGCCTCCGAAGAAGTTCGAAAAGCTCATCATAGGATGGGGGGATGCCGCATGGGTCGTTCACATACAGCCAGGTGGAGCTGGCGTCGGCCGCAACGTCGGTGAGAGATCGGTCGGAAGCGCCGAGGTGGTCCATTTGTGCGTCCCTTTTCTCCTACTACCTACGTCTTGCTAATTAGATCTAGCCTTCGTTTCGACGACTGTATTGTTTCTGGCATTTCGCTCTATACCCCTTCTTTGCTTCTTGTTCTTGCATACCGGACACGCGACGACGATGACAATCCAGTCTCTGGGCCCGACACAACTCCCAGAGGGGGGCGACACCGTCGCACAAACGGTCTTTCTCCTGAGCTCAAACTCATTGATGCCGCGACCTCGGACGAGGTTGAAGTTGACTCTCTGACCGTCAGCCGATTCGAAAGCTTATCTGCTGCGGACTATCATTTGGGCACGCTGTATGTGCCACACCCCAAGACGATGACACCTGCACAAAGAAGTGCACTGGAAGCCATTGGTGGCGGGATATGGGATGTTGGCGCTGCTACCGCTCGCATATTCAGCTCTGGGGCAAGTGTGATGAACCTTCCCATCGGTTCTGATAAGCCGCCGTCGAGAGCGCCTTCCATGTCATCAGCAAGCGCTGGAAATGCTGCTGGCTCAATATCGGGCAAGCGCCAACAACAGGCACACCCAAACGCTGCAACCGCGGGTTTGAAGGTCTTCATACAGAGCCCCTATGACTGTGTACTGGCCATAAAACGAGAGCTGTCTGATCACTTCCAATGGGAACTCGAGCATGAAAACTACAAAGATGCGTGGGAGCTTCTGGAGGACCATCCCGAGATCATCGCGTCCGTCTCTCAGGCATCGTCAGACGGCTCAGATGCAGGTACCCCAACAAAGCAGCAGGGAAGCTTACACGAGTTCTTTGCCGATGACAGCGAATCTCAAACGACGCTGTCTGCTACAAAGGCGAACCAAAATTCTGCAGTCGAAAAAGAGAAGCGTCGTATTGGGGACCTCTGGGTACAACAGCTTGTTAGCGCTGGCGAATGGAAACAGGCAGGCAAAGTTGCTGGTCGCGTACTCGGCACCTCCACACGATGGGAACATTGGGTGTGGAAGTTTGCACAAACGAACCACTTCAACGAAATCTCACCTTATGTTCCAAAGAAGCCCATACAACCTCCACTACCTTCAATGGTATACGAAGTGATACTGGGCCACTACATCATACATGATCGCATACGCTTCAAGCATTTGCTCGAAGATTGGGATCCTGACCTGTTCGACATCAACAGTGTTATTGAGGCAATCAAGAGCAAACTCTCTGCCGGCGACGTCACGGAGGATTCTATCGAGGGCGACATACAAGGTCGAGACTGGCGGATATTGCAAGACGGTCTTGCGAAATTGTTCCTTGCCAGTGGTAGGCAAAGAGAGGCGCTACGCTGCTACATCCGCTTGCAAAATGCGGAAGCAGCAATGACTCTAATACGAGACTTTCACCTTGTAGAAGCCGTACGCGACGATATCCCGGGCTTCATCATGATGGGCGTCTCGAAAGAACAGATGAAGTCTGCGTCCACGAAATTAGAGGAGCTAGAAGAAGCGTCAGCGGAAGCCATCGACGTTCTCGTAGAGGAGGGCTGCCGGGGCACCATTCCCGCAAGTGACGTCGAAAGCCAACTGCAAGCGAAAGGCCCGTCGTTCAGACCATTCCTACACTTCTACCTACGAAAACTCTGGAAGCCAGAAACGCATGAGCGAACAGCCAAGACAGCTAAAGAGAGAGTGGCTGAGGATCGTCTAGCAGCCGACGGAAAGCTCGTTGCAGAAGAATTCGCGGATCTCATGGTGGAATTGTTCGCAGAGTACGATCGACCGCTATTGATGGAGTACCTGCGCAAATCTCAAAGTTTTGATTTGAGCAAAGCTACCGCGGAGTGCGAGAGAAGAGAGTACACTCCAGAACTTGTGTAAGTCATTGGCTGTTCGCGCTACATCACTTTCCACGTTTGCTAACCTACTGTAGGCACATCCTCTCCAAGACCGGTCAAACCAAACGTGCTCTTTATCTGATTATTGAGAAGCTCTCCGACGTTAGCTTCGCTATTTCGTTCGCTAAAGAGCAAGATGATCCCGATCTTTGGAACGACTTGCTGGATTTTTCTATGGATAAGCCCCACTTCATCCGCGGTCTGCTTGAAGAGGTCGGAACAGCAATCGATCCAATCAAGCTCGTCCGCCGTATCCCTGAAGGCCTGGAAATCGAAGGGCTAAGGGATGGCATTGGTCGCATGGTGCGTGAGTATGAAATCCAACACTCTATATCAGAAGGTGTCGCAAGAGTCCTCCGGGGCGAGGTAGCAGCCGGTATGGACACGTTGCGTGCCGGTCAGAAACGGGGTGTCAAGTTCGAAGTCATACCATGTGACGGCGAAGGCCACAAAAAGCATCGCCATGCAAAAGGACAGATCGACATTGAGTCTAAAGGCATCGACCCCGTCTCCGCGGCAAAGGCTACGGCCAAGGCAGACAAGAAGACAACGGCGGCATCTTCCACAACTAACGCACCGAACATCGACCCCGCCCCTGCGGAAGCTCCTCAAGGCGAGGCACCGCCTGGCCATTGTGTAGGTTGCCACCGTCCTTTCACGCTTCCTACTGCCGAAGAAGAGACCGCCACTGTTGAGGGTGGCCCTATGCCCTTGTCTCGCGACACGCTCGTGGGCTTTGCATGTGGTCACGTCTTCCACCTCACTTGCCTACTACCCAAGACAAGTGCTAGTGCCAGTGTTGCGGCTGGTCTACAACAGCAGCTGGCCACCGATGCCGAGGATATCGGTGGTAGGTGGACAAGGAGTGTCGGCGCAAAAGTAGCGCATGCTCATGTCATCAAGAGTGCAGTTGGCCGGGGGTGTGTAGTATGTCGCGAGAAGGAAGTAGTCAGTGAAGAATGAAGATGATAGATGATTGGATTGTTCGAGGCGGTGTATATATCAGAGATATTTGGATATTTGGACAGTACGGATGTGTACTGGGGTGAACCACATACTGTAACATTATATGACAAGTGATAGGCTTACGAGCGGAGCATTGCATTGAAGGCGTCGGAAGCCACTCACACGGCTACGTATGTATGGGAATGTTGAATCAGCGTCCAATCAAACTGGGCTTCGACAATGTAATTCTGCCTGCTCTGCTGCTATCAGTCATTTTTGTTCGTCCTCTTGGGAAGTTTCGGCACATGGATCGATGGCTGCGCTACCATGGGCAAAGGGCGTGGAAGAGCACAACGCTAGCCAGATGTCTCATAATCCTACTCGACGATGTTTCCTGAAAAGGAATGTTGGAAAAAGCTGTTGAAGACGGCGAGAAGGGCGCAGTGACACGCATGAGGGTGAGGGGTATGGAAGGGCGCGCACTTGACATCCTAATAGTATTACCAAATTCACGTGATAGACAATCTATCTGAACTGTAAATCCGTGGATATGTAGCTCCACATAGGTTGAAGATACTCACACACATAGTGGCACGTGAGTGGTCAACTTGGTAGAGTACGGACGATGGCATGCCAGCACGATAAGCAGGGTTGAGCCTATCAGATGCAGGGTGAAGCTCAGCATCGCATTTTTTTCTGTCTTCAACTTCACACAAATGCTGCAACGATCACCCGAGATCGATTGT